GAGGAACACTCCCAAACTCATTCTACGAGGCCACCATCACCCTGATACAAAAACCAGAAAAAGATGCCACAAAAAAAGGAAACTACAGGCCAATATCACTGATGAACATAGATGCAAAAATCCTCAACAAAATACTAGCAAACAGAATCCAACAGCACATGAAAAGGATCATACACCATGATCAAGTGGGGTTTATTCCACGAATGCAAGGATTCTTCAATATACGCAAATCAATCAACGTGATACACCATATTAACAAATTGAAGGAGAAAAACCATATGATCATCTCAATAGAGGCAGAGAAAGCTTTCGACAAAATTCAGTACCCATTTATGATAAAAACCCTGCAGAAAGTAGGCATAGAGGGAACTTTCCTCAGCATAATAAAGGCCATATATGACAAACCCACAGCCAACTTCCACTGTTTTTAATAGACCACTAGGTGTGCTGTGTGCCTGAGGAACTTTGGGATAAATAGTGGGAAAGATCAGAAATGAATGATCACCAGGGTTTAAAATTTCATCCTCCCTTACCTCCCTCCTCCCCATCCCCTGAAAAGGGGCAGATTGAAGAGGAGAATCTGCCTCAACACCTGGAGGGGACGGGAGAAGGCAAAGCATTCGGGAGGGAGCCTGCAGGGCCGATGGCTAGCTCAGTCCAGGGGCCATGGGCCATGTGGGGAATGGGGTCCAGAGGGCGGTGGAGCCCCCAAACCCCGATTCCTCCAGCTCCTGGGGAACTTGCAGGTGGTTCATCCACAAAGTGAGGTACAAACCAGAGAGACCAAGACTGCCTGCGGGACTCCTCTCAAGAACGAACTGGCCAGGGGCCAGTCCAAAGTTGCTGAAAGAACTGTCACATCTCAGAGCGCATGTCTCACCCCAGTGGAAGGACCGGCCTGCGTCCAGTGAAATGCCCAGCCTTGGCCACCTTCAACTGTTTCCTGCACTGAGGAAGCTCAAGGCATCAGTGTTGGCCAGATGGGTGCTTCTGGAAGTGTTTTGAGGCACAGCATTTCCAGGATTCGGCTCCCCTTGGAGATTAAAAATGTGTTAGCACATGTTACGGATGCTGAGAAGCTCTGTAGGAAGTGTGATTTTGTGATTTATAATAAGAAATATATATTTGATCTCCGAGCAGAGCTCCTAAAGCCCTTGGAATTTCCTGTGATTAAGCTGATAAAGGTGTCATTTGTTATGTTATGAGGTGAATTTTGGAAAGCACCTAAGGGGGGCTGGTTGCCAAGGGAACCAACCAGGAATAGAGGGTTAGAACTTTCAGTCCCACCCCCTGATTGCCAGGGAGGGGAGAGGGGCTGGAGGTTGAATCAATAACCAATGGCCATAATTTAACCGATCAGGCCTATGTAATGAAGCCTCCATTAAAAACGCCAAAGGACTTGGATTCTGAGAGCTTCTGGTGTGGTGACCACATGGGCATTCAGGGAGAGTGGAGTGCTGAGAGAGGGCTGGAATCTCCAAACCCTTTCCCCATACCTTGCCCTATGCATCTCTCCCATCTGGCTCTGTTCCTGAGTTATATCCTTTAGTAGTAAATCAGTAATCTAGTAAGAAAACTGGTTTCCTGAATTCTGTGAGCCACTCTAGTAAATTGATTGAACCCAAGTTGGGAGTCGTGGGAACCTCCAGTCTACAGCCAGTCAGAAGCGCAGGTGACAACCTGGACTGACAGTTGGCATCTGAAGTGGCGGGGGGGGCGGGGGGGGGGTGGGGGGGGGGGGGCCCTGTGCTTCCCAGTGTTGCGAGCCCCCCCAAGCTCCCGGCAGCACCCCAGTCTCTCACCTGAGTCCCCAGGCCTCTCCCTGTCTACCTCAAAGGGACCGCAGCCCCAGCTGCCCACAGGGAGGGGCTCCCGTGATAGGGACACCCAGGCAAGGTGTGTGGGAGGCTCTCTGCACCTTGCTTTCCTCTCTTGCAAAGTGAGAGGTTCAGTGAGTTACTGCATGCTATCCCTAGAGCGACACATGGTGACACATGGGGACCCTTGTCCACCAAGGGGCAGAGTGAGGCTGAGGGACAGCAGCTCAGAGGCCCCAGGTGGGACAGGGCGCATGGCAGTCTTCAGTTCCTGTGCATTTTTGGGTGCCAGACCTCTAAACGTAAAGCAGTGGGTGCTGTGATGTATTAATCCCAGAAACCATGGACCTCATAATTCCTGTAATTCCAGACATCTTTGGGGGTGGGGAGAGCCTCTGGGGTGACAGCACCAGAAGAGGCCTGGGTTTCTGCTGCCAGGCTACTGGAACAGAGGCTGGTGATGTTACCTTGGGCCTCAGTTTCCTCAGCTGGGTGAGGCAGGGTGGCCACTGGAAACCTGGCTCCATGCCCAGCCATCTCCTCCCTCCCACACTGACCTGCTGACTGCGCCCCCCCCCCCC